TCCAACATCCGGCCAGTCCGTAAGCGTCGTGAGGTGGTGCGCTACCAGGATGAATTCCCGCGACCGTTTCAACTGGACGACTACGTAGCTACACACGCCGCTCTATTTTGTCTGCTGAAACAGCTGACGAGAGCGTTACAACGTACAAAGAGATTCTACGCTCACCGAATTGCTGTCAGTGGCAGCAAGCTTTGGAAGCAGAGACGAAATCTCTGCGAAGCCACAGGACATGGCGGCTAGTGCAGCTATCGGCTGGCAAGAAACCTATTGGATGCCACTGGTTGTTCAAGGTAAAACGTGGACGGGGCTGTCAATCGATACAAAGCCTGGTTTGTTGCACAAGGTTTCACGCAACGGCCGTGTGTGGACTATCACGAGACCTTTGCACCCGTCGCATGCATGGACACGATCCGATGCATGCTTGCAGAGGCGGCGCATCTAGATTACGAAATACAGCAGTGTGATGTGGACACCGCGTTCCTTTACGGCCGCATGGATGAAGAAGTTTACATGTGTCAGCCAGATGGCTATGAAGACGTATCTGAACCAGGTTTGGTATGTTTGCTGCAACACGCTTTGTATGGTACCAAACAGGCCGCGCGGGCATGGTACGACTCATTGCGGGACCACTTTAACAAACGAGGGTTCGAGTCCCTTAAGGCTGATCCATGCGTCTTTTCTCCAAGACTGTATCACGTGTTGGATTTTGCGCGGCGGTTGCTTATGTGAACGATTTGATTGTTATTGGCCCGGAACTGGACGACATTAAAGTGGTGCGCGACGGACAAAAGAAACAGTTTGACATTAAGGAGATTAGTGAGTTACGCTATTGTTTGGGCATAGAATTGCGACGCGTCCGTGGTTTACGCACATTATATTCGTTAGATTGCCGAACGTTTTCAGTTGGCCGACTGTAAGCCAACCGCGATCCCAGCAGACCCAAACACACCCCTCACCGCAAAGATCGATGCCCTCTTGACCCACCACCCATATCGAGAACAGGTGGGCTCTTTGATGTACGCTGCAATATGTACGCGTCCAGACGTTGCGCACGCGGTGTGGGAGGTGGCCAAGTTTTGCGAGACGCCAAACAAGTCATACTGGTTGGCTGCACGCCGCGTGCTTAAGTACCTCGTCTCAACGCAAGACGCAGTGATTCATTATGGCGGCGGAGAAAGTGCACTCATCGGTTACGCGGATGCCAGCTGGGCGTCGGACCTTGATACTCGCTGATCCGTTAGAGGATTTGTCATGTTGCTACACGGGGGCGCCGTGACGTAGAGATCCAAGAGGCAACAGACCGTCGCCGCTTCTTCTACCGAGGCCGAGTATGTTGCGCTACATTCTGCGTCTCA